TAAATAAATATTAATAAATATATTAAATAAACGTGATTATATATACATGAAAACTGCAGAGGAGAGGAAATGGGAAGAAGAATGGGGGGCGGGGGGCAGTCGGAGAAGACGGTGGCGGGCCAGTCGGAGAGGAGCGTAGACGGTGGGCTTTCGCCGGATGTCCCAGGCCTCCGTCTTCTTCGGCCGAGTCTTCATGTGGTGGGCCGTCACCTTCTTGTTGGGCCGAGACGAGCACTCTATCACCGCCGGCCCACCGCCTCCGCCGTTCCACGGGGCTGACTTCCTCGCGCCGGCAATCAATGCCGGAGCAGATGGGATCCATACTTCCACGATTTAAGCTCCGAAGAAAGCAGTCGGAGAAGAGAGAGAAGAATGAATGGAGAAAATGAAAAACGGATTTAATCCGTTTTCAGATTTTCAGAAAACAACAAAATTGTTTTTATTTTTGTTTTTTAAAAAATTTTACACCAAACGCATTTTACGTACGCGTTTTCATTTTTTAGTCTCGAAAAATGTGAAAATAGAAATGAAAATAGAAACAAACAGGCCTAATATTCGTGAAATTGTTCCTTAAAACATGTTAGAGACAACTAATGAACAGGGAAATGCCCAACTATTGTGAAATTGTTACATGAAGACGCTAGAAACAACTAATGAACGTGGAAATTCCCAACTAAAAAAAAACGATGTTGGTGATAATAATAACTTGGGCTTGTTCAAAAAAATAATAATAATAATAATAATTTGAGAGTAAGACAGTTATATCAGTAATGTCAATTTATAATTATTAGATAAGTTAAAATTACATCAAATTAAAAAAAATGTAAAATAAATAGTTTTTGATATAAATCTAACGATTAAAAATACATAATTATCTATTGTTCGTTTTTTTTGACCTACTAGAGAAGCTCTCAATTATAGGGAAAAAATACTCCATGAATAGGGCTAATTTTATGTTACTGTCAAATCAGATTATTTTACTAACTACAGTAATCACCCAAGTTATTATAATAAGCGCAATAATAATTGGTTGTTACTTATCATAATATTAATCAAGTTGTCATAACAAATCTAATAGAATCTCTTGTAACAGCTCCAACACACAATGTCTGTTGCAAGATAAAAATAACCACGTGCATATTAAAATTCAGTTCATTTCACCAATTTAAGTTTTATTATAGTGAAAAGTTTTCAAAAACAATTATATTTAATTTTTTTATTACAGTAAAAAGCTCTCACATAAAATCACATCTCAACTCAAATTAAAAATTCAAATCAGCGAACTAAATGAGTCCTAAACTTGTAGCGGTTCTATTCCAATGGAATCCATTTAGCTTGGTCCTTTTCAATAACATGGTTGGCTTCGTAATGGTAGTCTTCTAGCCGTAATATAAGCTTCGTTTGTTTCGCTGATTCGAGTTTAGAATTTAAATTTTGCTACAGTAAAAAGCTCTCACAAACAGGCATATCTAACTTTTTTGCTACAGTAAAAAACTCTCACATAAAATCACATCTCAACTCAAATTCTAAACTCGAATCAGCGAGGCCCACGATTGATAATTAACGGTCTACTCAACAATTAGTTGGGGAACATGCCATTGAGTCATGAATTTTTTATTCCATTCCCACCCAATACTTCATGCCAAACAAAGAAATAATTCTAACTCAACATTACTTAGGAAATTTTTTACAAGATAAAAAATATCAGCAAAAAATGCTTAAAACAGAGTTGGATCATTGAATGAAAACTAAAAAGAGTAAGGTTATAATATCACGTTTACATCTAAAAATAGATAAGAAAACTACCCACAATACCACGATCCTACCACATATATCAACCCCTCGTTTCCGAAAATTGAGGGAAATTTACTAAGGAACAAAAAAAAAATTATGTGCTATATATGAAAATTAACCAAAACAATAATAAGAAAAGTAAGAACTCAAACACTTCTAATAACTAATTTATTTCTTCTTTTTTCTTTTTTCTTCTTTCGTAGTTGGATAGTTCTTGGGGCGCATTTACTAATAAAGAATTCAATTTCAAAAAAGAAAATTAAATTTTTGATTTTAAATTTTTGTGTTTATTTTTGCATTTAGGAATTAAATGCAGTGGATCCCACCTACAAATGAGGAATTAAGTTCCTTAATAAGGGAAAATTTATATCCCACCTCCTACCTACGAAATTTAATTACTTCCCTTAGAAAATAGGAACTAACTAAACTTATTTGTTAATGTACCCTTACTTTAATTTAATTAGTTACTTCATATAATGGCTTTTGTAACTGCACCTTTTTTATTTCTATTACTTCTAACTTTTTAACAAAGTAAACAACATAGTGGGAATTTAATTTCCTAATATATTAGTAAACACGTTAATAGAATTCTAAAAGTTAATTCCGTGTAACTTAATTCAGTTTTTTTTAGAATTTATTTCATATTCTTTCCATTACTGATTAGTAAATGCGCCTTTAATATCTTTTCAATTATTTCCTTGGTTTATCTTCTTCTTATTATTTAATGGATACACCGTGTACACATAAAGAAAAGCACATCCTAAATGAAATCAAAATTCTACGTAAGCATTTATTCCGATCAATGTAATTAGACTATCTCAAGATTATTGTTTATCTCAAACTTAAGAACATTATAAACTAGTATTTGACTAGGACAATGAAAGGATTATTAATACAATTAAAAAAAACTAGGAAAAAAGTATTTTTATACTATATTTAGGTAAACTTCAAACTCAAAGCAATTTAAATTGTTAATTGGTCAGATAGGCAAAGGGAGAGGCTATAAGCTGGTCTTGCACGTGAATGGAAATCCTCTAATTGTGGCCTTTAACATTAATGAAAAGACAAAGTCCAGAATAGTTGCCTTAATTGAAACCGAAAGATTAAAAAAAAAAAAAAAAAAAAAAAAAAAAAAAAAAAAAAAAAAGAAAGAAAGAAAAACACCCACCTCAATCTCCATTTTCAATTTTTTACATTTATTATTTAACACAGAATTATACTAACCTAACATGTTATTATTTAAATAAAAAATAAAATAATACAATTTACATGTTAAATTGTAAATGTACAAAATAATAAAAAAATATTATTTAAATAGAAAATAAAATAAATAAAATTTACGTGTTAAACTAATATGCTATGTTTGGTAGGGAGGAAATAAAATAGGATAGAAAGAAAATATGAAAGTGATGAAAAATAGCAATGATGGAAAGAAAATTGATTTTTTTTTATGTTGTTTAGTACGAGAAGATGGAAAGAAAATGAGTTTACCTTCACTTGTTTAGTATTGAAAGTTAAATTGGGATGAAAAAAAAAATCTTATTCGTAAATTACTTTTATACCCTTAAATTTTTTACTTGGATGTTGATGGAGAAAATAATAGTTTAATAACTTTACTCATTTTAATGAGTTGTCCTCATTTTTCATTCCATTTTTTGCCCACTTATAGAAAAAAAAAATAATAGGACCCGTATGTATTATTTTCCACTATATTTTCTCTTTCTTTCTCTTTTCTCTCCTACTAAATAATCTATATTTTTATTTTTTCTCTTAAAATTTCTTCACCTTCTTCGTTTTACTTTTCTTTTCTACTAAACACACGAGAAAATAAATGTACAAAATAATAAAAAGAGTGATTAAAAAAAGACGACTATTTCTGAAAATGAATATTATATGCAAAAAGAAAAGAGCAGCTTCTTTCCTTCTTCACCAATTCAAAAATCAACGTAGAAGATACGGAGAGATTCTCTTTGATGAAATCTGGCGGATCTCCCTTTCCAAACTGTCAAATTTTCAAGAGGATTTTCGTATCTCTTTTGATTCTGATGGCTACCCATTTAAAAACTCACAAACCCCCTCTGTTGGGTTTCACTGTATTCTTCAACAATATTTCTTTTTGTATTCTTAATTCTCAATCAATTGTTATTATCATTTTTCCTCTGCTTTTTCTTGGTCTACTTCATTGTTTTGATAATGGGTATGGCTGCAGAAGATCAGTTTCATGTATTGGCTGTTGATGACAGCATAATTGATAGAAAGTTGATTGAGACCCTCCTCAAGATTTCTTCATATCAAGGTAATAATATAATTGACAGAATTCTTTTTTTTTTCTTTTTTTTTTCGTTGGATTTTTTATGAAGTTTGAGTCTAAATCTTCTGGGCATTTTTGGTTTTTTATTTTATTTTATTTTATTTTTACAGTTACGGCAGTAGATTCTGGAAGCAAGGCTCTAGAGTTTCTTGGTCTGCATGAAGAAGATGAACAAAGTGATGCAAATATTCCCTCTGTTTCCCCAAGCAACCATCATCAAGTTTTGGAAGTAAATTTGATTATTACAGATTACTGTATGCCTGGAATGACCGGCTATGATCTCCTTAGAAAGATTAAGGTAAAAATAAATTACAGCTTTTCTGGGATTTCTTTTTCCACATCATACGAACCAAAATTCATTAACGCAAACATAATTAAGTTGATGTTTTCTATGATGTGCAGGAATCTAAATCGCTTAAGGACATACCAGTTGTCATCATGTCATCAGAGAATGAACCATCAAGAATCAATAGGTAAAAAATCTAAAATTAAAATTAAGAAGACGTTTGGTTCATAGATTAGAATTATAAGATTAGAATTATTTTTGATTTACGTGTATTTTTTATGAGAGAAAACACTATAACGAATCATGAACCATAATTCAAATCAAAATACGAATTTTCTTACCAAATGTCCCTTAAGACTCTGTTTGTCATTTTTCGTCTAATTTTTTAAATTTTCTCTTTTTTTTTCATTTCTCAAAACTAAAAAGAAAAACACACATGTTTGGTAATAATTCTTTTTGACTTAATTCAGTTCATTGATTCGAATTTTTAATTTGAACTGAGATATAATTTTATATGAGAATTTATTATTGTAGCAGAAAAAATTAGATGTGATTTTTTATAAGAACTTTTAATTATAATAAAATTAAAATTAAAAATTTGAATCGATTAAATAAACGAAGTCTTTTTATTTTTGTGATTTGAAAACTTATATGGGTTTGTCACATTTGATCAGATGCTTGGAAGATGGGGCACAAGAATTCTTTTTGAAACCAGTTCAGTTATCAGATGTAAACAAGCTCAGGCCCCATTTGTTAAAGGGTAGTTCAAAGGGAAACCAACACACCATCAACAAGACAGATGAGGCCACAATGGAACAAGAAAATCAGTCAACCGAGAGACAGAGAAACATTTTATACCATGACTTGGAAGTGGTCCAATTAGAATTTGATAATTTATAAAAATTAATGGTCTCTTTAGATTTATTAAACACGCTCTAGAAATTTAGATAAGATTTAGTGTTGAGATATAGATAGCTACAAACAGATTTTTCAATATTATATATATATGAATTGTTTCTTATCAGACACTTGTATAATCGTATATAAATTGTGTATATTTATACGTAAATTATATATATTTACATGTAAAATCATGTATATTTAACATGAAATAGAACAAATCAGTTAATATACATATTTTCATGCTATGTGTTCACTAATTTTTATAAAAAAAACATATTTTGAGGATTAATATATTGTAACATACACGATTTACATGTAAATATACACGATTTATATGTAAATATACACGATTGCACAATTATACAAGTGTCATGTAAATATACACAATTTACTTATAAATATACACAATTTACTGTAAATATATACACTTTATATAAAAATATACAAGTGACCAGAGACTTGCCTATATATATATACATTTTGTATATAATGCAACAAAAGGAAAAAGTTCCAATTCACTTTTGCCGGTTGATCATTATAATAGGTGATTTGATCATCTTCAATTCTTGCATATGGATACAATTTTTGTTTCTGGTAGTCAAAATATTCCGATAGAGAATAATTATATTAATTTCCAAGTCGTGCATTAAGTTTAAAAGGTCAATAGTAATTGGTTTGTAAAAAAAAAAAATATTCCGATAGAGAATAATTATATTAATTTCCAAGTCGTGCACTAAATATATATATATATATAAGTTGATCGTATTTTGTTGACGTGTAGGCCAGGCCAAAGCAACCCATGAGTTGATACCATTTCCGTGGTTGGCTTCAAAAATCAAATTCGTCATTTTCATGATTTCACCAAACTTTGTAGTCGGTACTAGAAAGAGTTAAATGGATCAAAACTCTGTACTTTTTTTCTTTTACCTAACATTGTATTGATTTAAACCCTAAATTTTTTGAATGACTTAAATTTAATCCCTCATTTAATTTTTTGTTAATTTTTAGATGAAAAAAGTTAACATGTTAGTATTAGATTATAAAAAAAATGAGTAAATTCCCACCATTTCTTGCAAAAAGATACATTATGATTTGGGATATTTGTATCCTTATAGAATGCTAATTTCAATAGATTACAAGTAGAATATGATTTTATTCATTTATTGTATGAGCAATTATATTTACACCTACTAAAATAATCAGTACCCCATCAAATCATAATTTATATTTACTATAAATTTACTTGTATTAAAATTACGTTTAAACTTATTAATATACCTCCACATTAACAGTAAAGAGAAATAGTATTATATTAAAAAAATAAAAACCAATAGAAAAAATATACACCCACATAAACTATCATTAGAAAGTATTTTTTAAAAGTAATTAATTGTCTAAAGTATTTTTCAACAAATATTCGTCTCTGTCTAAAGTGTCATCAATCATAATGTTTCCCTATACTTACCTACAGTGCTTTCAACAAAATTTTTAGAACTCAAAGCAATTTTTTTCCTTCTTCCTTTTTGTCCCACACTACAAAATTATGGAGGTATTAATTTCCATCAATAATTTTTAGTATTAATTATGGAGGTATCTATAAATACTAGAGGTGTAAATATAACCACTCTTGTTGTATTAAAAGTCTTTGCCCAGCCTAACCCGAGTATGACGACCCGAATGGGAATATTTGGGTCGGCCGAGCGCAACCCTAAGAGAAGGCCGACACACTCAACCCTAAAGCCCAAAAGGCTTTAGAGCTAGAGCTAGAGCTGGGTTAAGATTGGTCTAGCATGAATTTTTATAAGGAAAAATTAAAATTAAAAAAATATCGGGACCAAAAATAGTTGGGGGCCTAGAGTATTAGTTTAGCCTAATCAGGCGGTTCGGACTAAGTCAAGTGGGAACTGAGCCAACACTGATGGCTCTAAATGGCTCATTTGGCCCAGTATAAACTTACATCGTTGTATTTGACTTTTATGTAGGCTTTAAGAAATATGGAATATAGTAACTAAAAACCATAAATTAAAAAAAAAAAACTTTTAATAAACTGTCTAAACCGTTGTTAAACTAGACCAGATCATTTAAAAATGATCTGGTCTGATTCCCTCCCATTGTCATAAATGATCTGGTCCGCTTTGGAATTTTTTGAAACCGTCTAATATGTCTAGTCTTAAAACCCCGACGGTTTGGGACCCAACCCGACTTTGCACAACCTAATATTTATGGGGAAAAATACACTAATTAGCATAATTTGTACTATATGACATTTTTTTAAAATTTAGTAAATAATAGCATATTTTAAATTTTATTAAGAAAGCAAATGCTCTTTTCTAATCCTCACTTCTCTGGCTGGGCTTAGTAACAGTCTCGGGTTCGTAGCTTTCATCGATTCAATATAATCCTCACTTCTCTTTTGTTTCAAATTTATGTGTTTGTATATTTTGGGTATTGTATTTTTTCTAAGTAATTTTTGGTGATTCTGGTTTATTTTTATTTATGACTTTTGAGTAAATACTGTATTTCCAGGTGAATGCTTATTTGAATCTAATTTCAAATATGATAAATAATGTATTTACTAGTAAATACTGTTGGGAATGGTGTCCTAAAAACATGAGATGTAATAGGATATTTATTATTTATTTAATAAAAGAGTTTATTTATTATTTTATGTGCATATATTTATGAATATTTTATGAATATCAATGAAAATTTTGTGATTATTTATGTAACCTTAAACATTGTATATAAGTGTTATATACGAGAGGATAATGTTTAAGGATAATAATCAAAAAGTAATGTTCATAATGAATTTAATTAAAGTTCAGAATCTTTAATTAAAACATTATTAATACATGTCATTCCCATTTAAAATGGAACGGTGTTATCCGCACTGTTAATATGGTGAGATATTGAATGAGTGTATTTCGCATAATGAGATTATGTGGAACAAGGACATAGACACAATATGAATTTCTAATAATTCCGTTAAGTATAGAAATTCTAATTGAGTCTACCGATGATCATATATAGAATGATCTTAATCCTGAGTTCTTAACAGACTCCTATTTATGGATTCGTGTCTTTTGATTTACTCGGTACGGATTATGAGATCCTGAATCCTATTCCTTGTATTTTGGAGACATGATGAAGTAGGTAGCCGAGAATGTTATTACACGAGATGAAATCCATTCCTTCTTAAGAAAGAAGTAGATAAATAATTCTCTTGAGGGTTGATTCGGTACTTGGACCAGTAGGAGCTCCGATTCATGAATGTGTTTTATGAATCACTATCCATTAGAGAATCAATGGTACTCATCTATAATTTCGAGAGTGCAATTCCAAGTTTATAGTGGAGTAACTATTGAAATTAATATAATTAATTAATTAATTAAAGTGTTTAATTGATTATTAATTTTATTGGAGCTCGGGATTATAGGTCCATTAGTCCCCGCGTCGTCCTATTAATTCTGCTAGACACAGAGGGCAAAATTGGAATTTTAGAATTACAGAATTTTAAAATTAAACACTCAAAAATAATTAATTATTATTTAAATAATGTGATTATTTAAATTTGAATTTGAACACATATAGATTTATCCATTTAAACTTATTTGATAAGTTGTTCAATTTAGAATTCAAATTAATTTAAGTTTGACTTAAATTGGAATTTGAATTTGAGTCAAAATTGGACTACAGGATAAAGGATGATTTTCTCTTCTTTCCCCTATCTGCAAATTGGCGCCACACAGGGATGAAAATCTCCTAAGGTGGCCGGCCATAATGGATAAGGATAAGAGGAGATTTTGTTTCAAATTCAAATAGGAGATAATTAACAAGCTTTATCTTAGAGATAGAGATTTGATTCATTTTTGAAGTTTGACTTCTACTCTTTAAATGTGAGAATGATAGAACACAATTTTTGAAACAATTTTTCTGCCCTAAGAGTTAAGGCTTGCCGAAATTCTCAAGAGAGAAAGGAAGAAAAAAAATTTTCTCCAAAAATTCCACATCGTGCATGCGTTGGTGTTTGTAGAAATTCGAGTGTTTATTGTAACCCGTTTTGTCTCATGTGTGCCCACACACACGTGTTCGTGGATTCTAAGAATTGACGTGGAACACATTAGTTTTCTAAACACAAAGATTGGAGCAAAGACTGTTCGTGGTCAAAGAACTCAAGTTATCATCCGAGTCGGCTTCCAGGTATTTTTCCTGATTGAGTTTTTGATATATATAAATTAATGAGATTAATTTATTCATGCATAAATTAATATAATCTATAGAGTATCTCAAAAGTTTTATGAAAATTTTTGTTATACACGATCCGCCTCCCTCCCTGCACCACGCTTCCGCATCCGAATTCGATTCGGAGACCATCAAATACTTCACTAAATTCGAGTTGAATCTAGTAAATATTGTATTTACCAGTAAATACTTCACTTAATAAGTTTGAATCTGGTAAATATGGTATTTACCAGTCGCCAAAACCAGTCGTCGTATTTTTAGATAAATATTGTAAATACAGTATTTACTGGTAAATAAAGTGTTTAATGGTTGAAGGAGCCGGGGGCGGGATCTTCAGATAAATATGATATTTACTAGTAAATACGATATTTACCGATAAATACAGTGTTAAACAGTCGTCGGAGTCAGTGGTCAAATTTTCAGATAAATATGATATTTACTAGTAAATACAGTATTTACTGGTAAATGCGATATTTATTAGTAAATACAGTGTTCAACGGTCGTTGAAATCGGTGCATGAATTTTTAGATAAATATGATATTTATTAGTAAATATGATATTTACTGGTAAATATAGACTATAGTGTTAAACGATCATCGAAGTCGGTGGCCAAACTTTCGGGTAAATATGATATTTACTAGTAAATACAGTATTTATTGGTAAATACGAATATAGCGTTAAACAGTCGCCGGAATTGGTGGTCGGCTTTTTAGGTAAATATGATATTAAATGGTAAATACGATATTTATCAGTAAATACAGTGTTAAACGGTCGTCATAAATAGTCACCGAAAAATGGTCATAGGTCATCGAAAAACATCACAGGTCGTCAGAAAATTGTCCCTGGTCTCGGTCATGGTGGACTTGACTATAATATACCTATTTTAAAAAATATGTTATAATTTACTATTTTCTTAAAAATAAATGTTTAGGGGGAAGGAGTGAAGTGAAAAAGAAAATTTAAGAATATTTTTGAATTTGTAATAATGTTTAAAACTTAAACTATACATAATTTACATTTTTAAAAAATATGTTATAATTTATTAATCATTTTATCAATTATACCATTTGAAATAGTTGAATTTTAGAAAAAGATAGAGCTTTACACTAAAGTCATTTTTTTTTTCCAAAAAGAACTCCCCTTATTTAAGTAATAATCGGTTAAAGATTAGTTTAAGATCAATTTTATAAATTAATGACAAATAAGGTTTATATATATTATTTATTTTTATTTGTTATTTTTGGTAAAAATTTTTTGAGAATATTATTTTTGATAATTTACTGACAAATAAGGTTTTGCTTTTTTTGTTTTTTTTTGATAAATTGCTAAAGAATAAGATTTTTCCTTTTTTTTATTTATTAATAAGCAAGTTGAAGAAATAAGTTAGCTTGAAAATAAAGAGATATTTAATTAAAAAATTCAAATCATAATTTAAATCACAATTTATAATTTATTATAATATTTTTTTTTATAAAAAATATATATAAATTAAAAATAATTTTAATCACGTAATTTTAATATAAGAACTTAGTTCGTCAACTCCGTCCATAAATGTCATGGGAATCAAATCAAGCGACATACTCACTACTTGGCATCACTCTCAGTCAGAACACATTCATTGTTAACCTTTTACTTTACCTTCCGTATCCGACAACTCTTTTACCTATTTTCCCTCGCTTTTCCTTTTCCCCACCACTTTCTCTCTCTTTCTCTACTCATCCTCGAACAAAACGAACCGAGAATCTTTAAAAAAAAAAACCAAAAAAAAAAAAAAAAAAAGGCCTTTCGGCTGCGCATGATTCTGTCGTTTTCGTTGTCGTTTTGTTCCTCAAATCCCAAAGCTGGTATTTTTCTGCCATTGCCGCTTTGTTTTACATCCGCTTAGTCCAAAGCTTCTTCCAGTTTCCATGTCCTTTAGTAGTTGCAGATGGTGATCATTTCGAAGAAGTTGGATCAATGGGAGATTTGACACGGAATGGAGGTTAGGGTTTAGGGTTTAATGTGAGTTGTTCTTGATTCTGTTGTGTGGAAAAACATGATTTTGGATCACTCAAAGCTGGCGGGTCCAGTGGAGAGAGACGTTGAGTTGGTAATTCATTTGCTTAAAAACTCTTTTTTTTTTCCCCTTTTTAAAACTTATCTTAAGATGAGAAAGAGAAGAAAAATCTTTGAATTTGTTATTTCTTAGATAGTTTCATATTTTCTGTGTTTTTTTTTCTTTTTCCTTTTTTTTTTGTAACTATAATCTTATGTGTAATCATAGATGTTTTTGTACAATAATAGGATCATAAAATTTGTAAGCAGAAATGCATATTGGATACTTTGTGTGTTTGATCTAAAAGGGTCTCTGTTGGTTTTGGTAAACAGGCCATCACTGCTTTAAAAAAAGGTGCAAATTTGCTCAAGTATGGACGTAGAGGGAAGCCCAAGTTTTGTCCCTTCAGGCTCTCCAATGTAAGCCTCATGTATTTGGAAATTGCTGTGTGTTTAGTTTGGTGGGATTTTCAGCAATTTTTTTTTTTCCTATTTTCTATATATGATTCAAATATAGAAAATATAAGATCAGTAATACGAGTCAAATGGGACTTCTTTATTTCTCAACAAGTGACCTTTGTAAATGGACCGTGTTAAAAAAGTTGGCTATGTGGTTGTGAGCAAAAGAATGGAATATAACTATTTTGTGCTTTTTTCTTCAGGATGAATGTTTTCTAATATGGTACTCAAGGAAAGAGGAGAAGTGCATTAAAATAAGCCATATATCCAGAATTATACGTGGTCAGCGCACAGTAAGTTTCTCAGTCTTTTGATCTTCTTCACCCCCTGCATGGTGCATACTGCACTAAGTACTGCCAGTAGATCAGAAGAGCAATTGATGGCAGTTTGCAATGATGTGGTAGATGGATTTAGGATGATGCTATTAGATATCATTAGTATTTTAGCTTATTTGTAACTTCAGGGTATTTAAAAAATGTACAACCTTCCTAACTACAAAGTTTCAATGGTCATGTTCATACTTTTATGTTGATTTAGACTCTGGTTGAAAGCTACACTTTTGTATAACTAGATTGAGATTCTATGTCTGTTTTTTTTGTATTTTCTGGATGTAAGTACTCTGTATGAATGCTATAATATATTTCCTTTTTGCGATCATGCTGAGTTCCCTAAGTTTGAGTTTCAATGTTGCATACTTGCATTATTTTTGTTGTTGTTTTTTGCTTTTTAATCTATTTTTGTTTTAACACTGAGTTCATTTGATACTTCAGCCCACATTTCAGAGGTATCCTCGACCTGATAAGGAATATCAATCATTTTCTATTTTATACAAGGATAAGTCTTTAGATTTGGTAAGCCTATACTTCCTGGTGGTTTTCTCCTGTTTAACTTCTACCATGTTTTATCTTTAATTCTAGTTGAGTTTTGTTGGATCTTTAAAAATTGAATTTTCAAGATCAAACACTATGTCCTTTTAATTATACCAGATATGCAAGGATAAAGAGGAAGCTGAAGTATGGTTCACTGGTCTAAAGGCAATAATTTTACGTTTTCATCGTGAAAGGGGAAGAACAGAATCAAGAAATGATGTAGCACCATCTGAATCAAGTAGTCCCAGAGCATGCACTCAGAAGAGTTCTCCATTGACCTCTTCGTTTGGTACTGCTGATAATTCACAGAAGGTGTTCTTTTTTTTTTCCCCAGCTGTCTTCCATGATTATCTATCATAGATAGGTAAGATCATATTCGTCTAAATGATGCAGGATGGGGTGGATGCTATTTCTCCTAATGTTGCATGTGACATTCCTCCTAAACTTGATTTGGAGAATGCACCATCGAGCACGCCTCAAAAGGTATCTGGGGGTTCAGATGCTATGGATGGACCCTTAAAGGATTCCAGCATGGATGCTTTTAGAGTTAGTTCATCAAGTGCTGTTAGCTCATCAAGTCAAGGTTCTGGCCATGATGGAGGTGATGCTTTAGGTGATGTTTTTATCTGGGGGCAAGGCGTTGGTGATGGCATTTTAGGTGGTGGTGTCCATAAAACTGGAAGTTGTTCTAGTGTTAAGATGGATTCTCATGTGCCTAAAGCCTTGGAATCCACGGTAGTACTTGACGTTCAGAGTATGGCTTGTGGTGCACAGCATGCTGTTTTGGTAACTAAGCAAGGAGAAGTATTTTCATGGGGTGAGGAATTAGGTGGCAGGCTTGGACATGGTGTAGACTGTGATGTTTCTCATCCAAAACTCATAGATCGTCTCAAAAATATCAATATTGAATTTGTAGCGTGTGGGGAGTATCATTCCTGTGCGGTAACACTTTCTGGTGAGATGTACACATGGGGTGGTACTTCTTTCAAATCTCAGCTCCTTGGACATGGGAATGAAGCCAGGCAATGGGTTCCAAAAAAGTTAAATGGCATTTTAGAGGGAATTCATGTATCACTAGTTTCATGCGGGCCATGGCATACGGCTGTTGTGACCTCCGCTGGGCAATTGTTTACTTTCGGCGATGGAACTTTTGGTGCTCTAGGTCATGGGGATCAGACGAGTGTTTCAGTACCCAGGGAAGTTGAGTCCCTTAAAGGGCTTCGCACTATGCGAGCTGCTTGTGGTGTTTGGCACACTGCTGCAGTCGTTGAAGTTATGGTTGGGTTATCTTGTTCCAGTAGTCGTTCTTCAGGAAAGCTTTTTACATGGGGGGATGGAGATAAAGGTCGACTTGGGCATGGAGACAAGGAATCAAGACTTGTCCCTACTTGTGTTGCTGCCCTCGTCGAGCCAAGTTTTTGTCAAGTTGCTTGTGGCCACAGTCTGACGGTTGCACTTACAACCACTGGAAAGGTTTACACAATGGGAAGCCCTGCTTGTGGTCAGTTAGGGCATCCTCAAGCTGATGGAAAGCTTCCCATTCGTGTTGAGGGAAAGCTAACAAGGAATTTCGTTGAAGAAATTGCTTGTGGTGCTTATCATGTTGCAGTCTTAACTTCAAGAACTGAAGTCTACACTTGGGGAAAGGGTGCAAATGGCCGTTTAGGCCATGGGGATACTGAAGATAGAACTTCTCCCACGTTAGTTGAAGCTTTGAAAGACAAACAAGTTAAAACTATTATTTGTGGTGCTAACTTTACTGCAGCTATTTGTCTTCACAAATGGCACTCAGATTTTGATCATTCAACTTGTTCGGGCTGTCGGCTTCCATTTAATTTCAAACGAAAAAGGCACAACTGTTATAATTGTGGACTTGTTCTATGCCATTCGTGTAGTAGTAAAAAGTCTGCCAAGGCTTCCATGGCTCCAAATCCAGACAAACCTTACCGTGTGTGTGATAACTGTTTCGAGAAACTCACAAAGGCCACTCAAACCAACCCTTCATCTCACTATGCTCTTAGTAGAAGGGGAAGTGTGAATCAGGGGGTCAATGAACTCATTGAAAAGAACAAAAGTCTGGATTCACAATCTCTTGTGAAAGAAAATGATATAGCATCTTTCAAAAGAAACAAGAAACTGGGATTTAACAGTAACCGTGTACTCCCCATTTCAAATCAAGGTTCTGACTTCAGTACCATTGACGGATCGAAATCATTTAACCCTGTCTTTGGGTCATCCAAGAAGTTCTTCTCAGCTTCTCTTCCGGGATCTAGAATTGCATCAAGAGCAACCTCACCAACATCAAGACGATCTAGCCCGCCTCGCGCCAGAACTCCCAATCAAACTCTTTCGGGATTCAATTTGTCAAAAGTTGTGAATGAAACAAAAAGGACAAATGAAAGTCTGAGCAAGGAAGTTGTTAAATTAAGAGCTCAGGTATTCTGATTTTCATTTTTGAATTAAAAAATAACCATAATTAAAATAACAAATAGATATATAACCTAAACTAGCTGTGTTAAAGTATAAAACTATTGTTAGCCCACATCCTAATAGCTTAAGCTTTTGGGATGGATTGGTAAATTAACATTGTATCGGAGCGGGAGGTCCTGAGTTAAAACCCTCATAATTGCACTCTTCATCCCCATTAAATTGTCATCATGTGTTGGGTCTTTAATATATCTCGGGTTTAAATATTCATGTGCTGGCTTTTCAATTAATTTACCCACATGATTGCTCATTGTCCAGCCCACACGTGAGGGGGAGTGTTAAAGTAATAAACTATTGTTGGCTCACCTCCTAATAACTTAAGCTTTTAGGATGGATTGGTAAATTAACAAGCTACATTTCAACAGAGAATGAGCCATCGTACTTAGGAATAGGTACAGAGGTTTCAATGAGAAGTTGGTCAAATTTTTTGATGAATAGGTGTCACGTCTTACTTATTACTCAAAGAAGTTCACTACTTCTATTCCAAAGAGTGGTAGTCCGAAGTTCATTTATTTACAGCAAAATTTGGTCAGTCTAGCATTAGTGTTGGACTCTTAATGGGGAATCAAAACGATGCTATCATGTTTGTTTATATAGATAAGTTGGAAAAGAAAGTTAGCAGCTGTAGCATTATGCCGCTTTCAACTTTGAGAGTTGAAGTCCAGTATGATTAGCTAGCTTTAAGATTTATTATTTATATGCTATTTACAAGCCTTTAGGACGCAGATTGCACTATTATGAAACTGCGTTAATAGAATTTTTGCTAATTTATGGTATTAGCTGTGAGGTGCTGTGTGTCCTTTTTGTCCTAATTATCCTATGATGTAGGTTGAGGATCTCACTTCCAGATCTCAGCTTCAAGAAGTTGAATTGGAGAAAACCACCCAACAGCTAAAGGAGGCTATTGCAATAGCAGCAGAAGAAACGGCGAAATGCAAAGCAGCAAAGGAAGTGATCAAGTCACTTACTGCTCAAGTGAGTTTTACACTTCTGTTAGCAAATAAATACATTAAAATAAAACTCCATGAACATGTTAAACTTACTTGAGCAGAAGACAGTTATTTTACTTGTAATTGGATTCTTTTGATGTTTTGTTTTGTTTTGTGTTGTAAACACGTCCAAGGACATCTTTTTGAGCTGTCAAGTTCTATTTCTATTTTCATGGCTTTGTTGCTTATCATAACCAATAGGACCGAGTATTTGAAAGTAGCAGAATCACACTTTAAAAGCATTTAAAGCTAAGGAAAAAGAGAAAGAAAGAAAGAATAGAAAAGGAACCAACTGAAGTAATTATAATCGGAAGATATCAGCAGTAGTTAAAATGGCAGAACTCTGTCAACTTCACAGAGGGGATAAGTACTAAGGATGAACTCAAACTTAAGATGGCTTAAATAAAAAAGTATGAACTAATGCTTTGTTGTTTTATCATCGTAGTTAAAGGACATGGCTGAAAGGTTTCCTACTCGAACAGAAAGGAGCAGCAATACACCCTCATTTTGTTCTGCTAGTCCTACTCAGGATGTATCTGCTCTAGCCACTGATCGAAAGAACAGTCCAGTGGCCTGCCGTGAACTAGATTCAATTCAAACAAATAGCCTGATGATTTGTAATGTATCGAGCGCTGTTGGTAATAATGCTTTAACTGTTACCGAGGTCTTGCATTCAGAAGCAACAACTAAGAATAAGGGTAGAGGTGCGAAATCTGAGACCACAAATGGTGACGAGTGGGTTGAGCAAGATGAGGCAGGCGTATATTTTACTCTTGCTTCATTGCCTGGAGGTCTCAAATACCTCAAACGTGTCCGCTTCAGGTACGTTATAACCATCTTCCCTTTAGACATCCCTTTACCAAAAGTGCATTTAATTAGGTACTCTAGTGGAAAATTCGTTTCATTCAAATCAGGCACCTTTGATTTTTGCGAGCGAGAATTTACGGTTAAGATCATTTGGTTCTGTCATATATATGGTGTACCTGCATGAATCAGGAAGTCTAGTCTAATCCATGAGCCCAAAGTCGTAAATCTCCATTATAAACCTATGTGTTCCCAATATAAGTTCCGATTTTTTTCTCTACTTGCAGTAAAACTGAGTAAGTAATCTCTAATCCACTTATAAGATCGAGCATATATAACCTACTAGGAACCCAAATGATTTTGTCTATGCAATGTTAAATGCGTCTTCTGTGAGAAATGGAATTTTGTTCTTAATGATTTCACTAGGACGACTACTAACTTACATGCCTGAAATTCTATTATTGTCAGTCGGAAACGATTCAGTGAGAAACAAGCGGAACAGTGGTGGGCAGCTAATAGGTCTAGAGTATATCAGCGTTTCAATGTTCATGTGGTTGACAAGTCTACCATTGGCTAGGATGGAAAAAGGTTAGCTCAATGCCTTACCACTGTCCATGGCGCAGATGAGTCGGCGGTTTCCAAATGGAAGGCTTTAGAAAAGCCAGATGGTTTGCTTGAGTTTTGGCTGCCAAAGGGCTGGACCTGTTTTCTAGTTGTGTAGATATGATGTAATTTTTCTTCGCATTCTCGTCCTTCTCGAATGTGTATAAATGCACATATATTATGCATGTATGTCCCCAGCCATGTTATATTCATACCGGTGTACCACACGTACCCCTTTTAGTGTTCTTTTTTCGCAGGGAAGTGGTAAAAGTTTCCGAGTTCATATGCGTAGTCATCTTGAATCGGTAAATCGGTTTGCCGAGTTTGTGTTCCATGTAATCTATTTATGTTGCCACAAAGCAAAGATGAGTCCTTTATGGTGCTATGAGCTATGGAAAAGTAATAATCAGCTTTTATTCTCTGCAATCCTAGCTCATACCTGAAATTTCCTATTTGTCAAATCTATCTACGCACCGGCTCGTGTATAATTCAACATACAAGGCAGAGAAGATCGTGTGGACGATGAGGGCCTTTACAAACTCTAATTGACGGATTTTGAGTGGTAAAATGGACAAAATGGACTTGAAAAATGATTCTTGCATGACAAAATTGATGCAACTGAAGCCAATAAAATGAGACGCAAACGGAAAGGGAAATCGCGTTTTTTAATGGGAGAAAAGTATGCAACAGAGATTGGAGTTTGGAAAATGGGTTTAAATGGAAATTCAAATTTGTTTAAATTTTTTAGAGAAAATGACCATATGATACACTAACCTAATTACTAGCAAGAGGGTCGTAGAACACACCATTTAGGAAAGAAAAGAAAACAAATGACCAACGTTTTGGTTACTAAAGAAAATGATAATAAAAGAAAACAAAATGACACAGCAAATTATAAGAGCATAGCTGTGTTCCTAATTAGCAACGCCCCTGCATGTGAAATTTTATTACTTCTCCACTAAATTTTGACTCTTTTGAGGGGTTATTGCGGATGATATTTGTCTTTCGTAGCCGGCAGAATGTGCACGTGGTTTTTTATCGCCAAGAATTCCTCTTTTTTTTTTTTTCAGAGCCAAAAAAAAAAAAAAAAACCATATACGTAGTTACTTATAGCAATATTAGTTTTTATTTTTTATTTTTTCAAAGTAAAGTATGTTACCACGATGGATTTACAAGTCAAACAAAGGAACAAGTCCAACAAAGGCTTTCTGGTAAGTTGGCGATTTGATAGTGAATCTATTATTTATTAAAATACAAAAATTGAGTTTATCTAGTAAATAGAGGATTGCAACATTTACCACATAAAAATGAGAAAATGCACTAAATAACATTTTTATTAAATATGCTATTTATTTTCACTCCTAGTAAATATGTTATTTACCACAAATGGTTTAACAAAATGGTCTACATGTTATAATTTCCCATAAATATAATATTTAGATTTAGAATAATAATGTAGCATTAAGGATATTTATATTTTATTTAGTCATTTAAAGAATGTCAAGAAAAGCAGCTGCTGGAAAGGCAACAGTTTTGCTGCTTTCAGATACTGGTGCAATTCTAAAATCTATTGGGAAAAAAATTGGGTTTACCAAACACCTAAATTGCTAAAAACTATTTATTTAACAATTTAAAAAGGAAAAAAAAAAAAGAAAATAGGTCAAGATTTGAGATGAATTAAAATTAATAGACTAATAATTTATATAAGTTAATAAATAGGCAAAATTACTATTTTTGTCCATAATTTATCTGATTATGAATCATAACTTGACAAATTATTGTCCATAAATCACAATTTTTATCTATAACTTGTCTGGCTATCAACCATAACTTGATAAGTTTATCCATAACTTATCTGGTTATGAACCATAACTTGACAAGTTATGACATATTAATTTCTATAACTAAAAATTAACCTATATACTTTCTTAAGGTTTTCATATTGGTCTATTTTCTACTATTTCCCATTTAAAAATAGCACTTCCAGCAGCAATCAAAACAGCTGTGTGTAATGATTAGCATACGTGAAATCTTAATTATGGTTTTGATTGCAATTTTCAAACCAAAAACTAATTGTAGTTCCTACTTACAGACTTCGATATATACATGTTCTCATTCCACTTACATTCTAATCCACCATGGACTAAACACCACTGAAGGATTCTTTACAAAAATATTCCTTTCACATGAATGTATGATCAATTTCAAATAGTAGTGCATTCAAATTTCAGTTTCATGAATTGACAAATATGAATGTGGCAAATTGCTACCTCCCTACCCAAGAACCAAAAAAGCTATAAATTTTTTACCCACCATCAGCTCTACACTTGCAAATGGAACAAATTGACACGAATCTCAAATCAAAACTTTTTTGAGATGCTCCAAATGCAAGCCACAAAATATATATATAAATACCACGATTTGAATAACGTATGTAGGAGATCAGTTGTATAAAATAATCCAATGTCAAGTTATGTCCTGTGATTCGGAACAGTTCAATCCCCAAGACCCCACCAGATCAGCCTAGTCGCAGCAGTTGCAGGAGAAATCACCATTCCTGGCAGAAAAGAGATCGTTGATTACGCGCAGAGGATAATAGCAATCACTATAAAGTATGCATGAATGATCAATTTGTAAAATGCTACAGAAGGAAATATAGCATTAGCAGCTGATTTAAGGATAAATTTTGATATGCATATCATCTTTCAAGACAGCAGCTCGTCGGCTAACATAATAATCTGTTCCACCTTCATAAAAGGGTTTTTTTTTTTTAATGGAAAAAGGATTTGTTATTAAAAAAATTCAAAATTTAAACAAAAAAAAAAAGAATTTTATGCAATACATTCTTTCAAAAGAATTAAGGAATTATTTAAAAAATAGAAAAAAAAAAACAATAAAACTGTATGCACACCTTTGTTTAGATAGTTGGATTTGTCCGCACAAACCGAAGTTGAGAGAGATAATTATTCACAGCAAAATCATGTAATGAACGGTGAGTTCGTGCCCCTTCAGAGTTGGTCTTTCCAAACTCTTTCTTCAAAAGTCTTCTACGCTCAGTAGCATCCTGATGGAAATAACAGAGACAGAGATAATCTAAATCAAATAACAAAAAACGTAACGCCGGTTCTTTTGTCGTCAAATCGAGTTATGTTTTTAACTCAAAAATACGCATTTGATAGCAAAACTTGGAAAGAGTCTTCAGAACACAGATTGAACAAAAATCAAGTCTAACAAAAAATGAACCAACTTGAGAAAACGTAACCTTTGAAATTGAAATATACGTGATTGATTTTGTTATCAATATTAATTTGTTAGCAAGTTTCTTTTACTTCAGAAACCGTAGCCTTTGTTTATGGCTTTCAACTTTCCTATTTTGCTTTTCATTTATTTTCTCCTTTTTTGGAAGGCACCATGTGTCCCTGTCCTCCAGACCTCTGTCCTTTGTAATTGATTTTATTATAAAAAGAAAATTTATGAATAAAAAAAACACACACACACACACACACACACACCAGAAAACAGAAAACCATCTAATGGACATAGTCGCTGCATGTTTCACACAAGGGAGAGAGAAACAACAAATAGTCCACACACAAGCAATGAGAGAACAGAAAGGAGAGGAGAAAAAAGCATCTTCTTGTTTTCTTGTGGATTCTAAATAGAAACCCTAATAAATTGGTTATTTGAGTGGGCTCTGCTTAACTGTTTCCTCTCTCTTCCCCACCACTAAATCTAAAGTGTGTTAAGCTACGGAGGATGACAATTCAAGCATAAGGAATTACAAGTTACAGAAGATGGGATACAAAGTAATAAACAAATCCTACAAGGTATTAAGTCAATTTATCAACAGGACCAAATCAAACACAATGCATGGTTGCTCAATCATCAAACTCACTGAACCTGTTTACCTGTAAGAACGCAACCATTTGCTCTTCAATAGTAGAACGCATTGCTAAAGTTTCCACATAAATAGGGCGTGTAGCACCCATCCGATGAGCACGACTAATAACCTGTTCCTCCATGCTGATGAGGTTCCAATCGTAGAAAGGTATTACATGGAAATAATGAGCGTATATTACACCAGGAAGAAATATGAAACTAGTTACATAAAACTAAACTTTATTTTTACTTTTTCCTGAAAATGGAAACGAAAGCAATTCCTTTGCAAGATGGTCACTCTAGTAACCTTGTTTTTCAAAAAGAGGGGAAGTGGTCAGTAACTACATAAAACTAAACTTTATTTTTACTTTTTCCTGAAAATAGAAATGAAAAACTAATCGAGATTGTCTTTTTCTTTCCGCTTTTTAGGATCTCTCATCCTCGTCACCTTGTATTGATTAATCTTCATCAATAAAGGTTTCTGTTTACTATAAAAAAAAATTAAGGGAATAACCTTTTGTCCCATATTGGTTCCATCAGGAAAACATGAGATACAAAGCTCAAATCGAGACCCAATGCAGCACTTCCATCCATCAAAAGCACCATGCAAGTTTCATCATTCTGGAACGTGGTCAGTGACTTCATCTGAACAAGTGTAACGGAATTAACCAATAGAAATAGAAACACAAACAAAGAATCACAGAACTAAAAAAATAAAATAAATAAAAAAGACAGTAAAGGAATATCTACCTTGTTGCTAGAATGCATCGGACTATACATACCAGCAAATTTGATACCAGCAATGGTAAGCTGGATAAAAGAGATAAAGTTAGAGACTATAATATGAATAAAATCCAAAAAGACCCATAAGTTTTCGGCATATAATGATCACCTGTTGCTCAATAACGTGTATATGCTCCAGAAACTGGGAAAATACAAGAAATTTATCTTTATGTGTATTTATGTTAGAGTTTCTCGTCCAAGATTGACATAGTAATCCCTGAATGTTCTTGACATCAGTGCCATCATCCTTAGGTGGTTGGACCTCATTGTTAGCATCTTGCAATTCTTTCAAACTATGAATAAGATAAGCAACTTTACTGCTAGATGTTGATTGCCAATCCGGATCCCAGTTATCCTGCATAAACACCAAATAGCACATGTAAATAAAATCATTTTGTAAAAGATTTCGAGAACATAAAGAATAAGAGATTGTGTCGTAAAAGAACTGGAATACATAAAGTGTAAGCGACGCGTGCCTGTTTATATGATGGCTGTAACTCAATAAGATCTTTAGGGACAGGCCACTTGGGGTTTGGATTTTCCGGTCGAGCCAGGGTATCCGGAGTTTGCATCTCATATAAATTGCCACAACCAGGATAAGTGCATCTTTCACTGTCCAAAGCAACACAATCGAGGCACAATAGATGCCTACATGGTGTAATGACAGGTAAACGGCACCATTCCCCACACCTAAAGAAATCATAGAATCATTCTCAAACAATCCAAATGTCATCTAGAAATCTAAATAGGAAAAACCAAAGGAATCTCAAAGCCTAGCATTTCTTACCTGACACAGTTGCCACCATCTAGGAGGTTATACTTGATAAAAGCATACTCCTCAGAAGTTGGATCCAATCCGTTTTCAACCAAAGCATCCATAGTTTCCTGAATATCTTGACCAGCATCTGTTACTTTTATATGCCCAGCCACACAGCAAGATAGCCTAATATTTTTTATAGTTGTACTTCGGAACTTCCATTGCTTTGGATTTAAGAGACTTTCAACATGAGAATGGTCATTCCAGTCAGCCATTAGAATATTGCGCCGCACTGTAACTGCTAATTCATTGTAACTCCTTGCATGTTCGTCAGTAAAGTCGAGTAGGGTAACTTTCTTAATGCAAGGTGGAATATTCTTCAAATCTATCTTCCTTGCACTAATCATGCACCTGTGAAGTAAATGCAACAGACGAGATCGTCCTTCTTCCATCTCTGCCTCAAAAGGCCTAAGAATCCCAGCTTCCCAAGACTTTTGATTCAGCCCATACGCTTCCTCGTGTAGAAATTTAAGCAATGGCTGAAGGTGTGATAGTTGACTATTAGGCGTATTGGGAGTTGGTGTTCCTGTTAATATCCAACGGTTAGAAGCCATTAACGAAACAGCCATTTGCAGTTTGTTGGTTAAGCCTACACTTGATCCAAGGGTGTGCCCCTCATCTAACATGACCCTAAGCCAATGAACTTGCATCAGCGCACTTTTCTTACGGGAACTCCATTCTGCGCTTAGGCGGCTGAAAGTAGTTATGACAACATCATAGTCCCAGGCCAGACTGTGTGCAGAGGGCTTTCTATGATCTGTCCAGATATAAACCCGCAACTGACCAGAGCTCACATGCTTCTGGATTTGGGTTTTCCAATGATCGACTAGAGTTGCAGGAACAACTACAAGGGTTGCTTTTGATAGATACAATCTAATTGAATCTAATGGCTCACAAAGAGCAATTCTAAGAGCAGCCACATCAAAGACCAAGTTGTGAAGTTTTTTTGGGTAATACCACCTAACAATACCCTTTTCCACTCCTTTTCTAAGACCAAACGATTGAAATATTCTATGGAACCCAAGTGGATCGTCACCAGGATCTATGCAAGTGCTAATAAGAGGACCTCGAAGGCCAATTGTTTCCATTTCTGAGAGCTTGTCCGAAGAGAGTTTAATTAACCAACTCAAGGCTTTCTTTGTTGCAGAATTTATCAAGGAATGATGCTCCTTGAGCACACTGGCGAAGAAAGAAATGTTTTGTTCCTCTCCTCCAGATTTCCCTTTGCTGTAGAATCCTCGTAAATACGTTATTGGCCCGCTGTCGTTCCAACTCTCCTCCGGAACACTACAACTTTGACATTGAGGATCAGTATTCATGCTACAAAACCAAGCTGCAGTGACACCAGATATCCAACTTTCCTGAAGTTTCCTCCACTTGTGACAAGCATCACATTGAACCCAAGTATCACTATATTCGTAGTGACCTGTCATAACTTTTCCACAACTCTTAGAATTTTTTGAATGTTCACGTGATATATCAGCTTGATTCTCACAAGAGACGTGTCCTAAACCATATGAAGCATGCTTCACTCTGCTAGAATTCTTTCCCACCTTCATTTCTGTGGAAAAACCAGACTCCCCTTCAAATTTGAAAACAAGATTTTTCTTTATGCGACTCAAGTTTCTAGTGCATGGAAACACAGACATTGCTGTCTTGGAGCATGTAGCTATTGGTTTCTCTACTTGATTATTAAGTCCTGTAGCTTGCTCATTTAGAAAAATTAGTCTGGCTCTTTTAGATGAGTAGCAACCAAGTTGCTCCGGACTTGTTTGTGCTTTCTGATCCACAACCCTCTTTCTTAGAGTCAAATTACTAACAGCAACATAATCACCACCAAGCTCATAATAGCCGCACCTCTGATTACCATTATGAGTACACCATATGATTTCTACACCATCTGGTGGATCTGCCACCTTTCCTTGTGTCTTAAGAATGAGAGAAAGAGCAGTAATTGTCTTGCCTAAGCCAGGTTCATCACAGAACATTCCCCCGCGGAAATCATTGATGGTGGGAGTTTCACCATAGATTATTTCGCCTGAAATAGTGCTTATGTAAAACGATAATCCATCTTCAGTCACAAAAGCTGTGTACAAGGGATGTGGCAAGGCTTCAGCACGCTGCTCACGATGTAACATCCACTGTACTGCTGCCTGCTGGTGAGGAAACAATTTAAGCTTCATACATGGCATGATCAATGCTGCCAAGAATCTAAGATGGCGACAGGTTGCAGCAACCTTAACTAGCTCTACTGGACCAAGAGGAGCTAGTATATTAATGAGAATATCATCAGATAGTTCCCATATACCAGATCTACAAGAGTCGTCTACAGGTTGTATTCTAAAAGTATCATTATATCCCATCTTTGCAACACTAGGTAAACTCTTAAAAATTTCATGAAGCTCAAACAGTCGTTTCTTTGAAGAGTCGGTGATTCTATAATGCAGCTTACATGCAAGAACATGGCAATCTGAGAGATCCCACATGCTCCTACTAGCTCCTAGAGCATCTTTAATGTAATCTCCGCCGGCCATCATTGAACTTCTATGTCCCCAATCACAACTGCAGAAGAAAAGTTCTTGGAGTAATAAGGCCAGAGCATTATATACATTGGTCTTGAAGACTTGGAGAAAGCCATGATATATTTATTGAACACAAATCTTTAATAAATGAAAGAATGAAAAGGAAATCATGTCCATACCTTTACACAACCCATTGGCAAACACTTGAATTACTACTACACATACAGTCATACTATAGACCCCCCATCACCAGGACTTATTTTAGGAGCATAAGCAAATATTTATGAAGAAGCATTAAAAGAGTCATAAACACCAATATGAAGCAAATATTTCACTATGCACGTTCATAGAATCATGACACTCAAATTGAATCAACAAATTGAAGACATTAGGTTAATAGATGGACTAGACAAGGTAATCTCACACCCAAGTACCACCAATGCAGTCGTAAGAATGTCATTTCTTTCCTTCTTCTGATGAGCCCAAAGTTCATACTCTATAATCACACTTTACTACCCTTACCCAGCCGATATGTTATACGGCATGGAGTGTGTGGTAACAAAGTGAAAACTAGACTCATCATTCAAATAGAATTGGGTCAAGTCCTTTCTATCTTATTTTTTTGGTGGCCTCAAGAATGGTAGCGGGATGTTTCACCAATCATCCCCTTTTATTAAGGGGAAAAAAATATTCCGCACCTCAACTAATTGATAAATTGATAAATGCACAGTGCGGCATGGTGAGTCCGGTGACAAGAGTGAAAACTCAGCTCATTCTTGGGTTAGCTGGTGAAACATCCATTTTTATTAAGGGGAAAAAAAATTCCGCGCCTCAACTATTGATAATGCACGCCTGGTGAATCCGGTGACAAGAGTGAAAACTCAGCTCATCCTTGGGTTAGCTAAAATCTCACTTCAACTGATTGATAAATTGATAAATGTACCATATGGTGTGGTGACATGAGTGAAAACAAGGCTAGTCACTGCCTCACTGGGTTATGTCAAATTTCGGACCTCGACTGATTGATTATTGATAGATCGAGAATGTACAGTGCGGTGTCGTGACATGGATACATATCAATTACATTATATTAAATTCCTCATTTTGAGGGAGAACCAGCTAGATTTTCATACTCATAAAAGAATTCAAGGTAAAATGCGTCGGTTTGAACATAAATGAATTGATAATTTTTATCCTACTTCTGTTTCTCTATTGAATTTTCCTTACGTTCTTTATGTTCCATTAGTGGCTCCAATCCTGGGTAGGGAATCATCTCTTCCTGAAAAAATAAAATAAAATAAAATTGCACCTCAAGTGTCGGAACAGAGCACCGGCGACGGATCCGTACTTCGGAAACTGCCATTCGGACCAGAGCGCGATCGGGAGATACACATCTACGAGCAAAACCGCCCTAACCTCTCCGCCGACCCCAGCCTCAGTCCTCACAAGACGCGCCGTGATTTGCAAGCACTTGTGCGTCACCAGAGCGTGAAGCAGTTCCACCACGCTCATACTCCCATTCACCATTCCAATGCTCCTCTTCCTCGTCTTCTTCTTCGAACAGCCGCCGCTGTTGCTTTTTCTCCTCTTCGGCCGCTTCCGATTTTCTTTTGCGGAACCGAACGCGTTTTCCTTTTCGCTGCTCGGACCAGTCTCCTCGCATCTCTGCGGCGAAATCACCGGCGACAACACGACGTCGCCGGCGGGGGACCTGAACCCGACGGAGGAGTTCTCGCGGAAGATGTGGAAGTGCGTGCCGAGAGGCGGAGTTTCGTGGGAAGAAGAGGTGACTGTGAGAACCGCACAGAGGAAACCGCAGAGCTCGAGGTCTGGAACCGCTACCGCCCGGTCGTCGTTCTTCTGAGTTTCCATGGATTCGATATGGGGAGACACGCTCACGCACGCACCGATTTTGATAAAATAGAAAACGTTTTGTCAAAATATTACTACTCTACCCAACAGAAAGAAAAAGAAAAATAAAAACGATCCGTGAAAATCTAGGGGCAGTTATTAGAACAGGTTCATAAATTCAGAAATATAATTAGAATTGTTTTTTGATTTATAATAAACAGTTTAAGTGAACGTTTAAATTAAACGTTTGTTTTTTATATTATCATAGCATAAATTCACTATATAATTTAAATCATAGCATAAATTCATTAAATAAATACACATTAAAAAGACGTTTGGTTCATAAATTAAAATTATGATATTAAAATTATTTTTAATTTACGTGTATTTTTTATAAGAGAAAATACTGTAACAAATTACGAACTATGATTCAAATCGAGATACGAATTCTCCAACTAAACAACCCATAAATTACTCGTTGCGTCTAATCTCATCTATAAATTTATGATGTAGCAATAATATTAAAATATTAAAAACCAATTAAACTTAAAAAATGAATTAATTATTAAAAATGATTAAAGAATTCTAAAAATTTGAAATAAGTTAATTTTCTTCTTCTTTTACACTAAAAATAATTAAATTTCTTTTTTTTAATAAATTTATAAACATTTAATTCATAAATTAAAATTATTTTTTAGAATTATTTTTAATTTATATATACGAAAACAAAAAATCAACAGCAAAATCTAATTCGTGCTCAATAGTCTGCTCGTGTAACTCGGAAAAAAAAAGTCCATCCTTTGAATACTAACAAAAAAAAAAAAAAAGAGTTCATCGTTTGAGAAAAACCAGAGCAGTCCCATTTGAAATTTCGAAAAAAAAAAAAATCAAACATTCATTTGATTCTTCTTTGATTGATACGGGTTTCAACCGAAAAATAAAAATTTGATGAGGAAGGAGCTTGAAGCTCTGTGCAAGAGGAAGTGCACAAGTTCCTCACGCTCGATGGAGGATCTGTGAGACGAAGCAATGAGCAAGGCAAATGAGAGCAGATCTGGGCAGTGAACTAGATGATGATGGTGGATCTGGGCCTGGAGTTGGTTCAGGAATGATTTGGCAACGAGCTTGCAAAGGACTACTCTAGCAATGGTGGGTTTGGGTTCCAATTTTACCCTGCTTTGTTTTTTCTCTCCCACTTCTCTCTCACGCGACCTCCCCTTCTCTCTCTCCGTTAATTTCTGACATCATTCAATTCGTTGATTGAATTTTTAATTTAAATTAAGATCTCATTTATTATATTAATTTAAATTTTATTATAATAAAAAAATTTTAAAAATATGTATATTTAATTTTTTTATTACAGTAAAAAATTTTCATATAAAATCACATCTTAATTTAAATTAAAAACTCAAATCAGCGAACTAAACGGGCCTTAAGATGTGATTTTATACGAAAATATTTTACTGCAGCAGAAAAAATTAAATGTGATTTTTAAACCTCGTTCAATTTGCGGATTTAAATTTTCAATTTAAGTTTAAATGTAATTTTTTTAGAACTTTTAATTGTAGTAAAATTAGAATTAAAAACTCGAATTAGTAAAAGAAATGAGGTTTTAGGCTCCATTCATTTTACCGATTTAATGGCTCGTTTAGTTCGCTGATTCGAGTTTTTAATTCGAGTTGAGATGTGATTTTATGTGAGAGCTTTTTACTGTAGCAAAAAAGGTAGATGTGATTGTTCATGAGAGCTTTTTATTGTAGCAAAACTCGAATTCTAAACTCAAATCAACAAAATGAACGGGGCTTAAGTTTACAATTTGAGTTTTGTTACAGTAAAAAAATTCTAAAAAACAGTCACGTTTAATTTTTTTATTACGGTAAAAAAATCTTAACTCAAATTAAAAATTTTAATTAACGAATTAAATAAACTCTTAATGATACATTTTAATTATAATAAAATTAAAATTTAAAACTTAAATTGATAAAATAAACTAAATCATTTCTCTCCAATCGTTTCTCTTTCTGTCAACCTCCCACTCTCTCTCCTCTTTGTCTCTCTCCAATCTTTTTCTATGAACCAAAAATTTGAGAGCCACGGCCCACAGATGAGATGGTCTAAGAGCCCGTTTGGTTCATGGATTAGAATTATTTTCGATTTACGTATATTTTTTATAAGAAAAAATATTATAGCGAATCATGAATCATGATTCGAATCAATGAACGAATCCCTTTACCAAACGGACTCTAAAGCTAGGAGGGCTGGTGAGGAGAGCCACAGGTGGACGAGATTAGGGATGATCTCTGCATAGTTTGATGACTTTAATTTTTTACCAAAATAATTTTAGTTGTTTTGTTTTTTCAATCGTTCATAATAAAGATATATATTTTTAAATACATTTTTTAAGTTTTTAATGTATGATACGTCAGTAAAACGTTAGCGTTAGAGTTATAGATGGGAATTGACATAAGGGCATTTTGAAACGTTTTTTATATTTTAAGGAGTGTTTTGAACTGTTTTAAAATATAGTACATAATTTTGAAATATTTATAAAAATAATCTAAAAAATAAAAAAAAATCAATAGAAAAAAAGATAATTTCAATTGTCTGTGGGCCGTATTGAACGAAAAAAAATAATTTCAATTTGATATTAACACAGCAACATCATCTTTTAATACCCGTATTTTTTATAATTTTAATTGGTATTTTAACATTTTAAAAATTCATTTTTCGTATTTTGAGATTCTTTTTGGGGATTAAAATGTAAAAATTATCTTTTTTAATAATCTTTATTTGGTTGACCCGAATTTACTCTTTATTAATTTTCTTAAAAAAAACTTTATTCTTATAACCAAATATTTTTTTCAAAAATAGTAGAAAATATGTCAATATGAAAAGCTTAAGAAAGTATATATGCCAATTTTTAGTTATAAAAATTAATAGGCCATAACTTGTCAAGTAATGGTTCATAATCAGATAAGTTATGGACAAACTTGTCAAGTTATTGTTCATAACCAGATAAGTTATGGACAAAAACCGTGAATTATGGACAATAACTTATCAAGTTATGGTTCATAACCAGACAAGTTATGGACAAAAACAGTAATTTGACATATTTATTAACTTATGTAAACTATTGGCCTATTAATTTTAATTCATCTCAAATCTTGACATATTTATCTATTTTTCCCTATTTTTATCTACTTTTAAAAATTTTAAAAGAATAAATGCGCATCAACAAAATAAGAAATTATTAAAAATGGCAAAACGACATTTTTTAATGTCCCAAAAGAGAGTCTCAAGGTACTAAAAATTGATATTTTAAAAGGTAAAGATACTAAATTAAAATTATCCAATACATATAGTATTAAAAGATAATTTCACTATAAAATAGGGTGCCAAATTAAAAATTATTTCAAATAAAACTGATAAAATAAAACAATCAAACAAAAAAAAAAAACAAATTCAAAGAAAACCTATCAAGCAAAAACAATAAAAAATCATCTTGTTTTATTCAGCGAAAAAAAAATAAAAACCTTCTGACGTAAACTAAACAACACTGTAGTGCATTTTATATGTGGGTGTGAGAAAAATCAATAAATTGCACAATAGAATATTAAAATTTTATTAATGGTCAAAAACAAACTTAGGTTGCTTTAAATAATAATTACATCTAAATAATCCGTACCTCTTGAAAAATAAAAAAAAAACAACACGTTTGAACGTTCCTATAAGAGCCTCAACCAACTGATTTTATGCGCTATTCTCGTTTCAAAAAATCGTTGTGTGTGTGGGTACAACTCAACAATTTTTCATCACTAGTATTCTCCTTCCAACGACTAGAGAGAAAATTAATTATTAAAATGAACAATTAACTCTCTCGCGTGTGCTCTCAAGCAATTTAGGAATAAATGAAGATCTCAAGCCTCTTTTTATAGAAGTCGTTGGAGGAGTCTGAAGTAGATCATGATTAGACGTGTTGAAAAAATCAATTAGTTATGTAGCAGAAGACTTTTAAAACTTTTTCATTAATTGCTAGGAACAAATTTTCATTCTTTTCGCTGATTCGAGTTTAGAATTTGAGTTTTACTACAGTAAAAGATTCTAAAAAAAGTCACATCTAACTTTTTTGCTACAGTAAAAAACTCTCACACAACATCACATCTCAACTTAAATTAAAAACTCAAATTAACGAACCGAACGATACTTTAAGTTGCTATGAAGAATAAATTACATTTAAATAAGTTATAGCTATTGTAAAGTCGAAATCAACATTTATGATAAAGCGTTCTTTTTAGAAGAGTCTCAACAAACTAACCCTTCTATGTTATTCTCATTCTACATATCATTGTGTGTGCACGCGCGCACACAAGTTCAGGAATATCATTTATACTGATATCTCATATCTTTTACATTCTAATAAAGGAGAATGCGGGCTTGTTCTTTTGAGTAAAAAACTAAAAAAAAGACAACTCGAGTTACAACTTTATTCGAGTTCATATTCTTTTAAGTTTAAACTCGAGTTTAGGACTAAAACTCGAGTTCAAGTTTCTCCTTCAACTCGAGTTCATAAACTCGAACTCAAATTAATGAACAATATTTTTTCTATTCTTAAAAATGCTATAACTTTTTCGTTTTAATTCTGATTGAGATTATTTTTTTTCTATGCGTTGACAACGAAAAGACGAATAAAACCCGACCCATATACCATATGAGAAATTTTCATCAGCATTGAGTTTTTATTAAAATACTATCTAAATACAAATTCAAGTTTTGACTCACTCAAACACAAACTCAAAAAGATTTTTATCTCAAACCATAACTCAAATATACACAACCAAACACAAACTCAAGTTACAAGTTAAACTTAAGTTATAACTCAAATTCAACTCAAGAATTATACTCAAGTTAAACTCTAAAAGATCAAGCCCTGCGTTTTTAGTAGGAGATGAGGATGAAACATTTCGCTTGTTTCTTCCTCTTAAATTAGCCACGCAGCTTTTTTCTTTTTATGGAGAAAGAGAATGAAGAGTGGTGGGTCCCCCGCCTGGGAAAAGAGAGAGAAGGGGATAGTAGAGGGGCCGACATGCAAGAGGGGGAGGGGGTATTCCCGAAAGAGAGTAGGCTCATTTAGTTCACTGATTCGATTTTTTAATTCGAGTTGAGATGCGATTTTATATAATAGTTTTTTACTATAGCGAAAAAGTTAGATGTGACTGTTTACGAGAGTTTTTTACTGTAACAAAACTCGAATCGATGAAATGAACAGGATCAGAGCTTGCCATAAATAGAGAAAGAGAGAGAGGAGTGGTGGGTCCCGCGTGAGAAAAGAGAGAGAAAGAGAGAGG